TTCCTTATGTCCAGTCTAAATCTTCCCTTTGTTAGTTTGTGTCCATTGGTCCTCATCCTCCCAAGGGATGCCTTCCTGAAGAGTTGCTTCACCAGATCTTGGTACTTCCCCACGACATACTTGTAGGTGGCTATCAAGTCACCTCTCAGCCTCCTCTTACTCAGACTGAACAGGCCTAGTTCCCAGAGTCTCTCCTTATATGGCCTATCTTCCAGGTCTGTGATCATGTGGGTGGTCTCTTTCTGCACCCTCTGGAGCTTATCCATACCCTTCTTGAAGTGTGATACCCAAAACTGGGCACAGTACTCCAGCTGCAGCCTCACCAGTGCTGAGTAGAGAGGGAGAAGCGCCTCTCTGGATCTGTTGGCAACACATTAGCTGATATATGCCATAGACCCCAGGTCCTGTTCAGATGTGCCAGTCAGTGGTCTTCCACCTATCCTATAGTTATGGTGAAGGTTCTTCCTACCCAGATGAAGGAGCCGGCACTTTTCCTTGTTGAACCTCATCTGAATCTGATCAGCTTTATAGAACCAGTCTATTTAGCTGTCCTGGATGCTTACCCTATGCTCTGGTGTGCCCGCATTTCCCCACAGGTTGGTATCATCAGCAGACTTAATTGTAGAGCATTCCACCCATTCATCGAAGTCAGTAATAAATATGTTAAAAAGCATGGGTCCAAGCACCAAACCCTGTGGGACACCACCAGAGACAGTCCTCCAGAGCAAGGCCAGCCCATCGACTACAATGCTCTGGGATCGGTTTCTAAGCCAGTTATCCACCCACCTCACCATAGGCTGATCTAGGCCAGTACCCTCCAGTTTAACTGAGAGAATTTCATGGGAGACCGAGTCAAAGGCCTTACTAAAGTCTAGGTAAATGATGTCTGCTTCATGTCCCTTGTTCAGCTGGTTAGTTGTCTGGTCATAAAAGGGCACCAGGTTTGTTAGGCATGATCTACCCTCCACAAAGCCATGATGGTTGCTTCTTAATACCCTGTCAGCTATAAGCTTGTAATTGATGGCCTACTTAACAATTTTTTCAAAAGGTATTTCCTAGGACTGAAGTCAGACTTAACTGTTTATAGTTTGCAGGATCATCCCTCCTCCCTTTCTTAAAGATGGGTACTACATTGGCCCTTTTCCAGTCATCTGGGACCACTCCTGAGTTCCATGACTTTTTTCAGATATCTTTGCCAAAGGACCTTGAATGAATTCAACCAGTTTTTTTAGGACTCTTGGATGTAAGTCATCTGGCCGAGAGAACTTGAAAATGTCCCGTTGTTCTAAGAGGACCCTCACCTAGTCAGGGCTGGTTTCATATTGACTGTTGACTTCCCCATATTTCCTTGGCCTCTGGACAGGTGCATAGCTCCTTTTAGCTTTCTGGAATACCAGTGTGAAGTAACCATTTAGGAACCTCCGCCTTTTCATGGGGATCTATTGTGGGCTGCCTCTCTGTATTCAGTAGGGGTCCCTACTGAATTGGAGCTCGATGTATTTATTTATTTTCCCTGCTCTCCATGTACCTGTAGAAAGACTTTTTGTTGTCCTTAATTTTGGATGCTAGCTTGATCTTCTGTATCTCATACCTGCAGACCCCGGTTATACGAGTGAACTTTTCTCTGGTTGCTGATCCTTTTTTCC